TTTTTAGTAAAAAAAATTGAAAAAATTTCGAAAATTAGCGATTTTTAAATTTGTAATTTTTTTGGAGGTTTCCCCCATTTACGGGGAACGAGGGAAATTTTTTCAATTTTGAAGGGTAATGTCTTCGACTAGATACGATTTGTGATCTTTTGACGTATCGTTGAAAGAAATCCGTTCGGTGAGAGCTGAGAAAAAGTGGTAACAGACACAAAAAAAAAAAAACACATCATAGTAAAACCAATACCTTCTCAGCTTCGCATCGAAGCTAATAAAAGAGATTGATATTCTTACAGTTATTATTTGTATATATTATAAAATAATATGGTTATCTAGTTCAGTTTATACTTAATAAATATACTGGGCGTCCCCTAATACAAATGTAGGTACAATTAATAAACTAAACTATAAATAAATTTACATACAATAGTATAATAGGATTTAACTCGTTCAATCGACAGATTTGACTGACTTCTCTGTGATAGCTTCCAACCTTTTTAATATAACGGTCTTATTTACTATTAATTTAAAAACTCAAACATTTTATTAAATTCAAAATATTCCCATTGAAAAAAACAAAGTTCACACCCTTACCAGGTTTAAGGGATGAACTTATATTATATATTATACTTATACTGTATTTTTTATTGTAAAATAAAATAAAAATAATTACCCCATATAACTTAACGGGGTATTAACTTAATTTTTCTTTAATAGCAAAATAAATATTTAACTAGCCAATAAAATAGAAAATAATATAATCAAGAAAATGACTGGTAGATAGGAACTTTTGGACCATTATTTCAGAAGTTATTAACAATTTTAAGTGATGCCTCCCGCCTAGGTATAAAAATGAGAATATCTTCCAAGAAATTTCAAGTAGATTTTTTGTCAGCCTGCAACAACAATGTGGTTTGCAACACATAACTACTAGTTATAGTAACAAGAATCGTCACCACCTAGGCGAGGTGGTTTATTAACCACAACTATGATAATCGAAGTTATAAGTAGTTGATATGTAAAACATACCGTAGCCCGTATTTATATTAAGGAACAGGGATAAAATAAATATTACAGTTAAAATTAATAATTAAATTTAAAGTAAAGAAGTTAAACATGGACAAAAATACGCATGTATCAAAAACCATGTCTACAAAGAAAGACAATAAAAATAAAATAAAATATTTAAACAAAATCAAATAATATAACTAACATTATGGACGGTATTGGAACATATCCAATAATGTTAATCGGAAATTATTGATAAACACCAGTAATGGTCTGGACACTGGCTCCTTAGCGTTGGCTAGAAGAAACAGGAAACACGTGCTTACCACATATAAATAAAATAAATTTAATTTATAATAAAAAAATATAAACGGTCCACATTCGAATTTGTGACTTTACAAATTACTGGTTTAAAAGATTTTATAGACCAGTTATTTTCTTAGTAAGATTATTTCATATTTAATAAGCTTGTTAATGATGTGATTTATGTATCATAAAAAACGATTCTATTAAATTTAATAACAATTAGTAATTTTAGATGTCATAAAATTTCAATAAAATATTAAATGCTTATTAAATTATTTACTTAATTAAAAATGAAGTAGATGATTTTCATCAAAATTTCTTTTTAACGCTTTATAAGCCAATTAAGGGCTGTAGCGGCCTACCTCAAAGGAGTAGGTTTTTTAACCATTGATTATTTTATATTTACGTATTGATCAAAAAAATTGGTTCCGTAAGAGCTGTAGTAATTAGATGAGGAAGTATTGAATTACGTCGATTTTAGTATAATATAAGCTTTACAATAGTAGTAAGCAATTTTTGAACTCTTAAGAAATATAATAATTCCATATAAAAGGGAAATGCCGGGTAAGCAAATTAATAATGGTGGGAAAAAGAATATAAAAGGGAAACATGAAAAGTATACGGGGACGTTACTGGGCGAGACGAGACTGGACGTTTTGTCGAAGAAACGTCGAGTTACGGATTAGGTCGTTGGTGTAAGAATAACTTTATATTTTTGTAAGATTTAATTAATTTTTTTGTTAAATTTTTATATAATATTTGACTTTGTGTTTAATACGTTTCTTAAATAAAGTAACTATTTAAAAATCTGGGCTTAGCGCAAATATTTTATATTCACCGTGTTCTTAGATTTGTGTGTGTGTGTGCGGCTAGAGTCAAGGTTGGACTACTGGTCCTTTAGTCAATCTTAATAATTAGTGTACGAGCTGGCTAGTTTTTGGGCTTAACCGTCCTTTAGTGGGTATAGTAAAAAGGTAGTTCTGCTGGTGGCTGACAAGGAACCACCCTTCAGTCTACTACTTTTGAGCTAGACTGTGCTGACGGGTCTAAACTCTACCCCTTTAGTAGTCCACTAATTAGAGGGATTGGGGCTGATCAGTTTATCCGACGGTTGGGTTTGGTTGGGTTCCAATCCGACGTACGAAAGAGCTTATGGACAAACATAAAAAATCGCACATAATTATAAAACTAATACCTTTTCTGCTTAGTAAAAAAGCTAAATTTTTTTTTTTTAAGCTATGAAACAGTATTTTTACTTTTTTAAAACTATTTTATTAAAAGTATTTTTTAACTCTTAGTTAGAATATGTCATTACTTTCCGAATATTGGATTTTTCATAAAAAAACGTACATATGAAAGAGTTAAAAACAATCAATATCATAAAATTTACAATTTTTCAGAAATAATTATTTCCTTCAAATATAATTCGATGTTTACTTACATGACGATATTTCTGCAAAGCAAATTAAACATGAATCTATATTTTTAGATTTATCAGCACAAGACTCACATAAATGACAATCACAACTCTCTATTCTATAATAAACGCTTTTATTACATAATTTCACAGGACAAGTTTTACCTAAAAATATGGAAAATATAGTATATAAATCATATAATATAATTTTAAAAGTACAACATATAGAAAATAAATATAATATTTTTTTCTGTGCAAGGCTTCCTCGGTGTTTTGTCTACTATATATTTTTTATAAGTTAAAAGTTCCTTCAAAAATACCCAAATTAAGAAAAAAAAGAATATATTTTATTTGTTTCTTACCATCCTTGATAAAATGTAATGGTATATCTGTATAAAAAATAATAATTTATGTTTATGATTTTAATAAAATCATTTAAAAACATGTTTATAGAAAAAAACATTTCCAAATCTTCATAATAATGTATATTGTTTTTAATAATGAACAAAAATAATTATTAACAAAAATAATATATACAGAGAGATTACTCATCTATGCTTGACGAAATATGTTATAATTACAATTGTTTGTAATTTTTTTTTCTATCATATTATCAAATCAAAAATAGTGGTTCCCATTTAAAAAAATTATAAATAAACATTTTCATCCCTGAAGGGATAAAAAGAAAATTCATTTAACTTTATATTATTGTAGAATTTAATAAACTTAATAATTTTTGTTTTTACAAAAATTTTTAATTTTTAATAGTTTCTAAGAAAATAAGTGTCTTACCAGATTTTCATCACTCTGTATACCTCACAAAATATGTTATAGCGAATCACAATATTATTTTTTTAAATAATTATTTCTCAATTGCTTTAGGTAATATACAGTAGAAGCCGCTTAATAGGAACACTTTGGGACCAAGGAAAAATATGTCAATTAACCGAAAGTTTCTAATATGCGATTAGTTTAATTTGTACTATAAAAAAAAAAATGAAAAATTTATAATTAATACTTAAAAAGTCAAGCCTTATAAATTAATCAAAAATTTTATTTAAAATACGTGTCTATCAAAGTTTGTTTTTTTTTATTTTCATAGGAGTAGTGCTGCTCAAAGCCTTTTTCATCCGCACGGTGCTGGACTACTCTCCTGAAGACACTAAGACCTTCTACAATTTCTATGTTTGTAGGGGATGCCTTGTAGTGTATGTTCTAATATACGCCCGGTTTGTCCCGGGACATTTTGTTTCAATAATGCGATTGTGTCAATTATCCGTGTTTCTAATAAGCGGCTTCCACTGTATTTATTTTCTTCTATCACCCCTTATACCCTAAAATATTATTAACATTCAATTTTTGAAATGCAACTCATTTTTTATACCGTCAGACTTCTTCAATTAAAAAAACATTTTTTATTTTATGAATCTTTATAAAATTCAATAAATATTATAAAATTTACAATTTTTCAGAAATAATTATTACCTAATTATTATTATAATTCGTTATTTACTTACAAGACGATACTTCTGTAGAGCAATTTAAACATTTACCAATTTGTAGAGAGTTGCAACTGCATTCTTTACATAAATGACAACCACATTTTACCATTTTATCATAAGCTTTCGTATTACAGTCTATTACATGACAATCTAAAAAAGTAAATTAAAACGCAAATGTAGCACCTAATCATATGATATAATTTTAAAAATATTATATAGCATATGCAAAATAAATATAATATTTTTTTTTGTGTAGGGGCGCCTAAACCACTTTAATGAAATATCGGTCAAAATTGTGTCAAATCTGTATAACTTTGACTTTTTATATTTTCAAATTTAAATTACTATAACTTTTTGAAAAATGCTAAGATCAACATAAATTTTATTTTCTAAATGCCTTATATATATATTCCTTTATTTATATATAATTCCTTATTATATACGTTTCATCAGTATATTTTTTTGTTAAATCGATAATCTCCCTTTATACTGGTAGCGTAAAAACTTGAAAAATACGTATTAAAAATAAAGCCTTTTCGACTTAACATTTGAAAAAGGTTGTTTTGTACATTTTTAAAAATTTATTGTAGTTTTAAGAAAAAAAAAATTGAAAAAATGTCGAAAATTATCGATTTTTTAAAAAGTGTAATTTTTTGGGGAATTCGCCAATTTTAGGGAATGAGAGATTTTTTTTCTTCAATTTTTGAGGGTATTGTCTTCAACTAAATACGATTTGTGATCTTTTGATGTATCATTGAGAATAATCGGTCCAATGAGAACTGAGAAAAAGTATTGATAGACACAAAAAAAAATAAATAAATAAACACATCATGGTAAAATTAATACCTTCTCAGTTTCGCATAGAAGATAAATTAATATCATAATTACATACCTTCATCTTCTTTTGTTGTAATTAAATCAATTAATAATAAAAATAATATGGTTTTAATTAATTTGGAATAAAACGTCATCATGATATTACAAAATAATTAAACAGTATATTTTAACTTTAAAATAATTTAATTTCAATTAAAATTTATTAAGTCTAGTTTTACAAATCTAAAACTATAAGATATTTCATGATTATTTTATATTAATAAAAGTATATTTAAACAACAAAGATAATTTATGTGTTTTTATATTAATAGATATTTTCATACATACGAAAAAATTTTTAACAAATACAAATAAAAAATTACTTTTCCTCAAACTTAATGTTTACGAAAAATAATAGTGAAAACATATAACTAAAAATTTAGTTTTCTGTTAATTACTTATATAGATAGACAAATAGAACTGCTAAAATACAATATTTTATAATGAAATATAAATTGAATGTTATACTCATACTATTAATTTAATTTAATTTTTTTGTAGCCAATTAAATTTAATTTTATATTATTCACATAAACTGACTTTACTCAGTAATAGCTCGTTTATAATAACAGATAAATTATATTTTAATTTTCCAGAAAAAAATATCTCATAAAGATAGGTATATTACTATAATTGTTGAATATCTGTAATTCAATAATACTATGTTTGTTCAAAATTAAAAATTGCTAAGCCACATTATTCGCCCTGATTTCCGTCTACGAACAACAGTGAAAATTAAGGGGTAAAATAGAGATGTCTCACAATGATACAAAATCGAAAAAAGGTGGATAACATTTATATTAATATTAATATAAATTTATAGACACTTAAATAGCATTTAAATTAAGTTGAATGCTTTTGAGATCAGTTTGAATAAAGTTATGAATTTAACATTAAAGTGCTGATAATATTATTAATTTTACCTTTATCAAGCTACAAATACCCAGGTAATAGTGTTTAAAATCCTTATTTAACTTATCTCAGCTCTCACTGAATCGATTATTCTTAACAATACGTCGAATGATTACAAATCGTATTTAGTTGAAGACATTACTCTCGAAAATTGAATAAATTCCTTCGTTCCACGTAAATGTGGTAATCCCCAAAAAAATTACAATTTTTATGAAATAGCTAATTTTTATACCCCATTAAGTTATATGAATAATTTTTTTGATTTTGTTTTAAAATATACAATAAAGTATTTACGATAAAACAATATATACACATAACAGCGAATATCTTGTAGAAAGTCCTTCTAATGACAGAACTCCTGCTGACATTTGTAACTTATATTACAATGTTTAAATTACATTTTTGGAGTAAATAACTATTAAAAATATATTAATATATATTTATTATTGAAGATGATCTCTACACCAGGATCTTTTAGGCGGCGAGGAGAGTTATCTGAGTATATGAGTAAGGACAGATTTTAAATAAGAGGGATTGGATGATTTTGGAGATTGTTGTGAAAGGGTTTGTATCGAGAGATAGTAGTTTGTTTTACAATAAGAAGGTGGAAGTCTCTATGAATTGTTTCGTTTGATATGTAAGATAGGACGTTAAAAATTCGATGAAGGCAATTGGATTGTAGAACTTGAATTTGGCTAATATTTGATATTTTTGCTGATCCCCATATCTCAATACCATATGACTACATTGGTTCTATAAAACTTTTAAATATTATGAGTTGAATGTGTAAGTTAGTTTTGGCATATTTATGGAAAGTATGATGACCAGAAAAGTTTACGGTCAATGATAAGATCAAAATATAAGGGTTAATTTTAAAAATGAATTATAACATGATAATTCAAGAAATGTATAGTAGTTTGTTTTACAATAAGAAGGTGGAGGTCTCTATGAATTGTTTCGTTTGATATATAAGATAGGACGTTAAATATTCGATTGGTAATTAAAATCGGTTCAGTGAGGCTAAGAATTTTTATGGATAGACATAAAAAAACGCACACCATCACAAGAATAATACCTTCATAGCTTCACATAAAAACTAAAAAATTTAATCAAAAAGATTTAAAAAAACTCCATAATTAAGTGAATTAAAAAAATTAATTATAATTGTAAATGTACATTGTTAAAGTCTAAAGAAACCCAAATCATGTTATTAGTAATGCACGTTACAAATTTGAAATCGGCGCAAAAATTGGTTTAAAGAAGTATATTTTTGATGAAAATTGCTTGTAGACCAAAAAATGTATTCATAAGTAACAATTCATTTATAAAAAGTATTGCATCACGATCTTCAAATTTTATGAATGTTTTCCATAATAGTAACAACTCCTTTATAATTTTTTATAATTTCTCCATACAAATTACAACACTATATCATTAAATATCAATTTCACACTACAATTAATTTCTATAATAAATATTTTATATATATATTAAATCCAACTAAACAAAAAGATAAATCCAGACATATCTGTTTGCTACAACATACAACAAAATAAAAAATAAAAATAAAAAAAATTTATTTCTCTAATAACTACGAATTTTGATCGCATTAATCTGATTGTTGTGTCTAATTATCAAGAATAATTTTCTTTACAAATTTCCATTAAAAAATAGGTTTTCAAAAAAAGTGGATTTATCTGGTTATTTCCTCAATTAGCTTAAAATTAGCTTTGAAAGTTCCTTTTTAGGTTCGATGCGAAGCTGAGAAGGTATTAATTTTACTATGATGTGTTTAATTATTTATTTATTTTTTGTGTCTGTTACCATTATTTCTCAGCTCTCACAGAACCATCAAAAGATCAGAAATCGTATCTAGTCGAAGAAATTATCCTCAAAAATTGAACAAATGTCCCTCATTCCTCGTAAACGGGGGAAATCTCCAAAAAAAAATACAAATTTAAAAATCGCTAATTTTCGAAATTTTTTTTACTTAAAACTACCATGACTTTTTCAAAATTGAACAAATCAATATAATTTTATTTTTAATAGATGCATAATGTCTTTACCTATTATTTGATATATTTTTTTATAAATTTGAC